GTCCTTACTCACCGTGGTGCCCAGCCACAGCAGTAACCTCCAGGCGACAATTGCAACTTCTCGCGCCTGGGCGGGGCGCGAACCGCCGACCCCTCGGATGAGAGGCCGACACGTTACCACTGTACTAGCCCGGAGGCTGAAACAAAGACAAAGAGACAGAGAAAGACATTAAAGACAGAAACCGAAATAAAAGAATTAATAAAATAAGAATCGAAGCCGCATTTACCCAATATTTCACCATCTTGCCGTTCACAAGGTCCTCGCCCCAGCCCAGAAGCTTGACAGAATGGGCGGCCGAGTGAGGACTTCCTAGCTCAGAGTGCGAGTACACTCCTGTCTTGTACAGGAAGAAATCAGGGTGTACCGTCATCACCGCTGTCGAAAGAATTTAAGAAAATGAAAGGCAAGTAAGGCAATAATAAAAAAAAAATAATTAAATAAATAAAAAAAAGAATAAATAACTGGCACCTGAAGAGTATTCCGCTGGCTGATTCTGCTTTATACTAATGAAATGGCATTTGATATATATTTCTCCACACACATTCTCTATTCATAAAACTCATTACCAATATTATAATTACTAAGTACCACTTTATTATTGATTTATTTGGCGACTCGGAGTGCTCCGGAATCTCGGGTGAGTTGCCAGTTTGTCCTTTCTTTTTGAAGTTGGATGCAGTTTTAATTGTAAAAAAAACCAAAAAACTATATGATCTTCCCGGCGGTGAAGAGACCAATGCTTGGATAAAACTCCAAATGATATGTTGCCATAAAATAATATCACATAAATAAGATAAATAAAAATAACAAAAAAGGGAACAATATATATATATATATATATATATATATATATATATATATATATATATATATATATATATACATACATACATATATATATATATATATATATATATATATATATATATATATATATATATATATATATATATATATGTATATATGTATATACATATATATGTATATATATATATATATATATATATATATATATATATATATATATATATATATATATATATATAAACTGAGATGAACTATATTTAAGACCTTAGAAGTGTAACTAGAATCTAATTTATTCATTACTGATAAAAGATATTGAATCTAGCCAGACACTCACCTTGCACGGGTCCGTTTGCAATAATTTCCCTTTGAATATCTTGCACTTTACCAGGTACGCGATAGACAGGGCCGCTCTTGTAGTGAGCCTGGAAGAAAGGGTGGGAGAAGAGATATCAAAACGATTGATAAGTGATCTTACTTTCTTTCTTATTTATCTTTCGCTCTTTCTTTTTTGTGTGTGTTTTTTTTTTTTTTTTTTTATCTCTCTGTCTATTTCTCCCTGATTGATTGACTATCTGTCTTTCTGTCTGTCTGCCTTTGTCTGTTTCTGTATGGCTGTTTATCTTTCTGTCTGCCCCTTCCCCCCCCCCTCCCTCCCTCTCTATTTCTCTTTCGCTCACTAATTCTCTATTTCTTAAACAGTATCTCTCTCCCTCCCTTTCTCTCTCGCCCTCTATCTCCCTCTTTATCACTTCTCTTTCCATACCTGGCAACCGGTTCCCGTACGCGTGCGGCAAATGGGCAGCTTCCTGGTAGATCCACTCTCATAAGCGTTGCATATCTCCGGTAAAGCCCTGTGGGGTTGGAAAAGGCGTGTGGCTTAGTGTGTGTGGGGGGGGGGGGGGGGGGGGCAGGAGATGACAGGAGACAGGACGGGGGGGGGGGGTGCAGGAGAAGACAGGAGACAGGACGGGGGGGGGGGGGGGGGCAGGAGAAGACAGGAGATAGGACGGGGGGGGAGAAGACAGGAGACAGGACGGGGGGGGGGGGGGGGGGGGAAGAAGACAGGAGACAGGGTGGGGGTGGGGGGGCCAGGAGATGACAGGAGACAGGACGGGGGGGGGGGGGCAGGAGATGACAGGAGACAGGACGGGGGGGGTGGGGCAGGAGAAGATAGGAGACAGGACGGGGGGGGGGGGGAGAAGACAGGAGACAGGACGGGGGGGGGGGGGAGACAGGAGACAGGGTGGGGGGGAGAAGACAGGAGACAGGACGGGGGGGGGGAGAAGACAGGGGACAGGACGGGGGGGGAGAAGACAGGAGACAGGGGGGGGGGGGAGGCAGGAGAAGGGGAAGCTGGGGGCGAAGAGGCGTAGGGGGATGAGATAGGACGGATGAGGAGGTGAGAGAACGGGATAGGAGGGAAGGGAGGGGGGGGGTGAGAAGGAAGGAGAACGGAAGGGAGGAAGGAGAGATTGAGGAGGTGAGAGAAGCCGTTATTTCCAACACTAAACAAAACCTATGAACACACACGCCGCTGTGTTCATCGACCTACCCTGTCATCCTGAGGTAATGCCAGGCCCTATCTAGGTGTCCCCCAAGGCATCCGTTTGGCCCCAGATTGCCGCAGCTCAGCACATCCTGGGCAGAGAAGCTCACTCTATACCGTCCGTCGGATACCATGGCCAACCTGTAGGACAACGAGAAGGCTTTTATGAGAATGGTTCAGTGTCCCCTTAAAATCTGAGGGCGATGTTTATGTGTGGGTGGGTGTGTTTGTGTCTGAGTGTGTATGTGTGTGAGTTAGACGTATGTCTAAGTATGTATATTTCTATATACAGACTGCAAATGCATTAGCACTGATCGTGACCTATTACAACCTAGCGTCGCAGTGACCTTTGGCTACAACTGAACGCCCTAACCTGTCCTGAGCGACGCTGAGGGTGGAGAACACCCACGAGGCACCGCACCAACCCTGGTCTTTCACGGACGTTAACCTTTCTTTAAACGACTTTCGGAAGTCATACTCGGCAGGAATATAGATAGAGGACGAAGGCTTCTTGACCTCAACCCTCTCCAGTACCTTTTTATTAAAAAAAAAATATATATATATATAGCTATATATAGAAAAGATATAGATATAAGTATCTGCACGTCCGACGGGGGGAGGATTTTTTAAACGCGTTCGAGGCAGCACGTCTCCTCCCCCCCCCCTCCTCCTCTCAGTGACGACAGTGAATATTCCATCATATATCCAAATCCAAACTCTTCCACTGCACACTCGAGCCATAGCAATCTAATCTTTCTCGCAGCAGGTGAAGAGAGAGAGGGTGTTTAAAAAGACAATGCTCATCCTCTTACTATTCGGGTTGGTCCCATCGTTCCTGTCAGCTGGCGGAGTCCCTCGTCCACGTCCTCAGCCTTGTATTTGTCGTAGAATGAGGCGGTCCACCCAAGCTGATTCTTCCTCCGGCGTAGTTCATTAATCAGAGATTGGTCGTTGATGCAGTGGTTCTCTGCGCATATCAGTCCTGAGGCCGAGTGCGTACTGAAGGTGAAAGGAGTTTTGAATAAAGTGGTATCAGATTTAAGTAACGTGAGATATAAAAAAAAAAAAAAGCGTGATTTATTAACATCAAAATAGAGACACAGAGATAAACAGATATCGACAAAACGTGATTATATTGATATCAGAATAAAGATACCAATTTATGAACAAAACAATATTTTTCATATCTATTCCATATATTTCGGGGTTCTATCAAATGACATTTCGATTTAAAAAAAAAGTATGGCAATAAAGACGTCAATACGTACCACACATCACACTTCACAGATGTGCTCCTCACTAAAAAATAAAATTGGGTGTTAATATTATCAATTTCCTTGCTCTTCGCTTTTCTCGCTATCATTAACCATTGTTAGTTTCATCTTTGTCACTATTGCCACTTTTACTACCCACCCAAAGCCTTTTTCTCCATAGCATCTAGTCATTTAATTAACTTCGTAGTCTTTCTCATTTTCATCTGCGAAATTAACCAACTTTTCCACTTCCCTTTTTTCTGCCTCCTTCTCCTCCCCATCTCGCTTCATCCCGTTCCCTTCTCCCCCTCCTTCTCTATCTCCTCCTCCTCTTCCTCTTTCTCCCTATCTCGTCCCATGGCTCGCCTCCTCCTCCTTCTTCTTCTCTACCCCCTCCTCCTCCTTCTCCTCCTTTTCTATCACCTCCTCCTCCTGGTTCTTCTCTATCTCCTCCTTCTCCTTCCCTCCATCACGTCCAATCACTTGCCTCCTCCTCCCCTTTCTCTATCTCCTCCTCCTTCTCTACCCCCTCCTCCTCCTCCTCCCTTCTCTATCTCCTCCTCCTTCTCTACCCCCTCCTCCTCCCTTCTCTATCTCCTCCTCCTTCTCTACCCCCTCCTCCTCCCTTCTCTATCTCCTCCTCCTTCTCTACCCCCTCCTCCTCCCTTCTCTATCTCCTCCTCCTAGTCCTTCGATTTTTCTACCTCCTTCTTCTTCCTCCTCCTCCTCCTCATGCTCCACTTTCTCTATCTCCTCCTCCTCTCCCTCCTTCCTCCCATCTCGTCCCATGACTCGCCTCCTCCTCCTTCTTCTTCTCTTCCTCCTCCTCCTCCTGCTCCTCCTTTTCTATCTCCTCCTCCTCCTGCTTCTCCTCTATCTCCTCTTTCGCCTTCCCTCCATCACGTCCCACCACTTGCCTCCTCCTCTGCCTTCTCTATCTCCTCCTCCTTCTCTACCCCCTCCTTCTCCTCTTCCTCCCCCTCCTTCTTCTCCATCTCTACCTCCTTAAAGTCCTCCGTCTTCTCTACCCCCTTCTTCCTCCTCCCCCTCCTCCTTCTCCATTTCTATCTCTTCCTTCTAGTCCTCCGTCTTCTCTACCCCCTTCTTCCTCCTCCCCCTCCTCCTTCTCCATCTCTATCTCCTCCTCCTCCTCCTCCTCCTCCTCCTCCTCCTCCTCCTCCTCCTCCTGCTCCACCTTCTCCATCTCCTCCTCCTCTCCCTCCTTCCTCCCGCCTCGTCCCATTACCTTCTACACTAAGACTTTCCTCTCCGAGGCAAACTGGACCATAATCAGGGCAGCAGTCAAAGTTATCTTCACAGGCAGAGTCGCAGAAACAGATGTCTTCAGTTAAAGCTACGGAGCAGTTATCTTGGTGGCCGACACAGCAAAGGGG